GGAAGTGTTCTCCCTCTGAAATACAACATAACCAAGTTCCACAACAGCCCTGCACAGATGGTCAGTTTAAACTGCTAAGTGACTGGTATTAAGCCCAGTTTCTTGTAATGATCTTAGAGAATTTAGTGAAAGTCAAGTCTTCTGAGTCTTTTATCACATAGGCAGGATCAACCATGAAACAGAACTACAAGTAGTGATGGTTTAAAACAAAGCAAAAAATTTTTAAAAAATCACAAATGTCTATGCTCGAGGAAAGGCCTGTAGACCTCAGATGTTTTTGCACACTTGATGACAATAGATTTCACCTACTTATGTGGGATGCACTGCTGGGCATTTCCTGAAAGAGTACTAGAAGACAACTGTACTTTTAGCCTGGCATAAATCTACACAGTTCACCTGACCTGCAGGACACCTCTAAACAGCCACTGGAAGTGGCTCAAAACAAGTTGACGCCTGGTCTCCTACAGTCTCACCCCTCACAGCAAGAGTACAGGGATCTTCAGAATGAAGATTTTCTTTTCCTCTGCAGAGGACAGAAACAGGACACAGTCTATGTCATGTATTGCTAGCCCTTCTGAGTTGACAGCTTGCCCAATACAGGTTAGAAATCCTATCTCAACAGCTGGACAGAAAGTATCACCAAAGAATATCCTGAATATGGCTCGTTTTAACTCCCTACTAGGAAAGGATAGGCATGAGGAAGCCAGATTTGTTCCATGATTTCCTCACAGTATGTGAAATCCAAACTCTGAGCTTATCTTTATGACAGTCAGTGACGTGGAATCAACTTACCTCCAAGAGCCAGAGTTCAATGGTCTTACACCTGAGACCCAGTAATAAATAAAATCACACAGCAGACATGAAAAAACACCAGAGCTTCCAGAAGCACTGGCTCAACTCAAGAGTCAACTCAAATGCCAAGCAGCACCAAATGCGGATCGTGTAATTTAACTTCACAATACAGACAGCATGCAGGACATACATGCTTAGGTTTAACCATTCATCCATCCTGTTTCTTCACACAGGAGTACATGAAAATAGAAGGCTACTTTCATTCATCCACTCATGGAGGTTCAGCCCTAGCTCATAAACCGCACTCATAAGAGCAGGTAGCCTGAAGCTCTTCCCTACTGACAGTCCCTGCCCTACACTTTCAGATGTCAGCGGTTCCTGTCAACCCCAGGCTGTGGTTGGGTCGCGGGTCATCGCGACACGGGAGCTGGGCCAGAAGGGCCATTGGGCCATCCCCCAGGTCCCCCAGTGACAGAAGCTCTGAAGTGGCCAAACAGTTCCAGCGGATGGGAAAGGAGCTGCCAGCAGAGAGGTTAGCACCGGACTTGGGAAGACCCCAGAACAGCGCGGCCCTCGGGCTCCACGCCAGGAAGCGCTCCCAGGACGGCACCACCCGGGACGGGGACTTGGGGCATCGCGGCCGCCGCTCACCGTTATGGTCGTAGACGCTGACGTAGGAGATGCCCACGGCCATGCACCACACGACCAGGCTGGCCATGTCCGCGTAGCTCGGCTCATCCTCGGTCACCACCAGCCCCACGTGCACCGGCAGCTTCCGCAGGGCGCGCCCGTCCGCGCGCCACCGCTGCCGTCCACGCGCCGCCGCGCCGTGCGCGGGTCCCCGCCGCCGCCAGGCCGCGCGCGCCTCGCGGAACCCGAGCGCGCGGGCGGCGGGTGCCAGCAGCGCGCAAGAGGTGGCGGCGGCGGCGGCCGCGCGGCCACGCAGGCACGCGAGTAGCGCGCGCTGCAAGCAGAGCAAGGCGCGCACCAGCGCGTGCAGCGCGCGCCACGCCAGACCGCCCGCCCCGCTCATGGGACCGACCGACAGGAGCGCGCGGGGGAGCGGCGGGGGAGCCTCAGCCGCTGCGCGCCGCCCGCCTCGCCATCCCCTCACGGAGCCCGCGTCCGCCGCCCGGCAACCGCCAGCGCCGCCATCTTCCCGCCGCCCCGCCTGATCTTTCACCTCTCAACCCGCCACACGCGAGCCAGCCGTTGGCCGCCGGGCGGGACAACGTCGCTTCCGGAGCGGAGCGACGAATGACGTGGCGCGAGAGAAGGGGAGGGCGGGGCTAGGGCAGGAGGCGGGGCTGGGAACGGTGAGGGGCGGGGCTGCGCCCCCTGGCGGCCGCTGCTGGCGATGGCCCTGCGGGGCCGGGGCGGGAGGGCTCCGGGGCGGGGCCGGGGCGGGAGCTGCACCCAGCCAAGCTCTGCCCATCATCCCCGCTTCTTTCGGGAACCCGTCTGCAGACGCTACCTTGCCTATCCCAGCCCTGCTCTGCCTGGTGCCCGCAACGCCTCCTTCACGCTGGTGTGTGAAGCAGATATTGGGGGGGAGGAAGCATCTGAACAGAAGCAGCTGAGCCTCAGGGGTGATTTCAGTGAAATGCAGGTTTCACCCTCAGAGCGCGCTGCGAGTGCTCACCGGGCGGTTCCGAGAGGCTCGGGGACGGGGGCAGCGCAGCCCCCGACCCGCGGCGAGACAGCGCGGCCTGGGGCCGCACACCCCCATGTGCAGCCTTCCACAAGAGCCGCGGCTGTGGCTACCTTGGCTTGTAACGGGTCCGAAGATGGAAACACCGCTGTCAGAGAGATTGGCACGGAGATGTTTAAAGCATTCTGTTAAAAGAATCTGCCGATATAAAATTGAATGAAGAATTTTGTATCACGAAAATATTTCTGTTGCTCAGAAAATAACTGCTTTCCTGGCTTCTAATACAAACCAGCATTAGCCAGCAAAAACAACACAGTCGAGTTGCAAGGAAGGATTGTGCTATTTCAAAAATATCTAACTCTTTAGCTATCAAAAATTTGGGTGACTGACCTTAAAATCATAGAATCATTAAGGTTGGAAAAGACCTCTAAGATCAATTCCCACTGTCAGCCCAGCACTGCCAAGTCCTCTGCTTAACCCATGTCCTTAAGTGCCAAATCCACATATTTTGAACGCATCCAGGGTTGTGACTCCACCACTTCCCTGGGAAGTCTGTGCCAACGCTTGACGATGCTTTCCATGAAGAAATTTTTCATAGTATCCAATTTGAACCTCCCCTGGTGCAGCTTGAGGCCATCTCCTCTGGTCCTGTCACTTGTTTCCTGAGACTGACCCCAATCTTGCTACCACCTCCTTTCTGGGAGTTGCAGAGAATGATCCGGTCCCCCTGGAGTCTCCTCCAGGCTAAAGAACCCCAGCTCCCTCAGCTGGGACTCACTCTCCAGGCCCTTCACCAGCTCCATTGCCCCTCTCTGGACACACTCCAGCATCTCAATGTCTTTTCTTGTAGTGAGGGGCCCAAAACTGAGTGCAGTATTCAAGGTGCCAAGTACAGAGGGACAATTGCTTCCCTGGTCCTGCTGGCCACACCATTGCTGATACAGACCAGATTCCATCAGCCTTCTTGGCCACCTGGGCACACGCTGGCTCCTACCCAGCCAGCTGTTGACCAGCATCCCCAGGTCCTTTTAAGCTGGGCAACTTTCCAGCCCCTCTGCCACAGCCTGTAGAGCTGCAGGGGGTTGTTGTGACCCAAGGGCATGGCATGCCACCTGGCCCTGCTCAAATTCACACATTTCGCCTCAGCCCATTGATCCAACCCATGCAGATCCCTCTGCAGAGTCTGACGACAAGGGAATGTAAAGAAAAATGAGCTCAAGTCTCTGTGCATTAAGCTGTCCAATTTCATAGCCCCCAATGTGCTGGGGGACCTAAGAAATGCATTTGCACAGGAGACATAAGCAAATAGGTGCACTCCGACACCTGACAAATCATCCTCAGTGGAGATGAGTGATTACTGAGTTACTGAATGCCAATATAAGATAAAAAATAACAGAAACTGTTTGCTTTGAAAAGTAATTTGCTGATGTAATTACTCATCAGTTATCACCTAAGATCATGAACTAACTTAAGTGACTGTAAGTCAGTGGTTTTAGTGGTCTCACTAATCCAGTTTTGTTTAGTTTTCAAGCACTTTGGGAACTGCTTGATAAAATTTGTACATACATTAGAGTTAATGCATTAATTATATAGCATTTAGTAATTTTTTGTGTGTATGTGCACAAAAGTCTGGAAAGTTCTAGGCTAGTGAAGGGGGACACTTGCAGTGTGTACTTGCACATTAAGTATACCTAACCTAAAAGTATACACATGGTATCTTGAGCTATATTCTAGTAAATTAGCTATTCAGTTACCAAAATAAACTCTTACAAAAGCTTCACATCACCTCATCTTATCCTAATATTTGCCAGGATCTATTTCCTGAGAAACTCCCTTCTTTTGTTTACAACACCAGAAACAGGTCAACTTGACGCCAGTGTTTTCATTCCTCACTCTTAATTAAGAACTACTATTAAATCTCATTAACCAGGACACTGATTCTTCTGTTTATTTCACTTACTGTGATGAAGATAAGCCTTCTGTGTTTTCCCTACAGCTCAGCTAATTTAGTCTAACAACATTTAAAATAGTCTAAAATAAACAAATAAGGGAAATGTTTCAGGAAAACTGAAATCAATTTCTCAAAAACAAGAATTTCTGAACAATCCCAAGAAATTGCTCACATCAATGTAACTCTCCATGTCAACCTGCAGACCCATGAGTTTAAGTGTGCTGAATGCCAGTGCTAGTAATAGGGTCTTGTGGTATTGTAGAATTTTATTTGTGGGGGTTTTATGCAACTATAAGAAATGTTCTACTATAAAAAGGTCCATACAGAGTCACAGACTGCTTTCCTAAGAGACAGTAATTGTATTCTTCCTTCCCTCAAACTACATAGTACTAATGGTATAGAGAAACAAATTATTTTTTTTTTACAATATTCAGTTCACAATGGCACCCTTATTGTAGCCCTTCTGTCACTGGCTATTACTTCTTGTAGTACAAATAGGGCAGGAAAAGCTAATGACAGATGAGAGGACTGCTTGTCAGTAGAGACACTGGTGTCAGTGGGCAGCTCCAGACAGCTTTAAGGTTCACTACAGATGGAACCGTGACATTAATCTAATTCATAATCGTAGTAATCCTCATCTGTGTTCACTCCAATGCTGGAGGCTTCGTTTGGTTTCATTTTCTTTCTGTCCTCTTTGCCTCTTTCCATGGAAGACAGATTGTCTTCACACTGCTGCAGAATCTTTTTGGAAGACATCCAACTTTCTCCTCGGCTTTGTGCTGGCGCTGCACACTGCCCTCCCCGGACATCCGTCCCTTTGGCCACCAGTGCTCTTCTGGTTCTGAGAAGGTCACAGGTGCAGTTCCAAGGGTTTCCATCTAAATACAGGTAACGAAGACGAGGTAAATACTCCAAGACTTTGCGATCCAATACAGATATCTTGTTATTCCGTAAATTTAAAACCTGAAGCTGTTTCAAGTCCTTCAGCTCTTGTTCTCCAACATCCTCTATGTCGTTTCCTTTTAGATCCAACCTAGCAAGGGTGTCTGGAAGTCTGAACAAAAATAAAACAATACAAAGGTGTTATGTTCATCATACTGTTTCTGTAAGCGGTATTTCGTGGTGGATATTTGTCCAGGCACATCTGATGTACTAAAATAAAGTTATCACTATAAATGCAATCTTATGCAAAAGCAGATGTTCATATTGGGTTTGGGTTGGATTTATTTGTTTGCTTGCTTGTTTGTTCTTTGTTTTTGCATTATAGGTGTACTGTCTGTGCACCCTTGAACTGTTTTCCCAAATTGCTGCAGTTCTGACCTGTATTGACTGTTCATGCAGCTGAACTGAAAAGCAGTCCTGTGCTGTGCTATGAAGAAAACTAGCTGTTTAATTGACTGTCAAGTTTAAAAACAGTTTTTGTACTCTTCAATGCCAATGACCAAACTATAGGACCATGAAACATCAAAAGTTTAGACAATCATGGCAACACTGCTCCTTCAACTACTTCTATATATGATTTGTTTAAAAACATTATTTAGTTTTTAAAGAATTAGAGTTTTTCCATTTTGTTCTCCTGCTCCCATCAGACTCAAACTTTAATCATCACAGCAGTAATCCATCTGATGATAAGCTGTTAAGAAATCAGTAACAGGGAAAATATAAATGCTTTTAAAATAGTACTTTTGAGACTTAGAGCTGGTTACATTTAGAAGAAGAGAAAAAGCCGATAATCTCTGGATATGATACTAGACAGGTCAGTATAATTCTTATTTTCATATAAATTGCAAGTTTATATGAAAGGACCTTAATTTCAAAAGTCTTGCTAATTTATGATTTTTTTAATCTCCCTCTGATATAGTTAGAGGCAAGTGCATCACAGAAAACATAGACATTGAATATCTTTAATAAAATTAATTTGAAAGTATCTTTAAAATCACCTTACTATGGTAGTAGGCAAGGTGATGAAATTAAGAGTCAAGATTACAGATTTTAAGGAAACTTGACTGAAACTCTCAGGGAAATGATAATCATATTACCAAGATCTATTTAGAATAGAACATCAGTATACCACAACTGGTAAAGTTATGGGTTAGTCAGTGACTCTCCCTCACTGTTTTTTGTGAAGCCGAGTTTGAACATCTTAAGCTGAAAGATGGTTTCCACATTTGCGAAAACCTGGCAAGTTCAGTGTTACTATTTCAAGAGTAGGGCAGTTCTGTATTGTGCTATTTTTCTTGGGGAGATGAGAATTTCACGTATTTATATGGTGATTCACTTCTCGAAATCTGACCTTACTAAATGTTTGTAACTGCAATAAATCAGTTTTGAAACTTAACCACAGACAATTATAGTTGTCATATAGTTATAATGTCAGAAGGGTACTCTGGGGTAAAACCCTAGTGCCACTGATGTCAAAGGCAGTGGGAAATCACCTGAGAAGTTTGTCCATACTGATTGCAGTCCAAAGACTGACCAGCAAGTCCTTAAACCTGTGAAGACTCTTATTGTACTGATGTTAAACTTAAACTTTATGGCTATATTGTTTAACTTCAAGCTGTGTTGATCTACAGAAAATAATACCATGAGTGAGTGCCCTGCAGCTGGAAGAGGAGCCGAGCTCACATAGGAGCTGACCATGGCAGTCACACTGCACTACTGCCACTCTAAGGAATATCATCAGATTCTTCCCTGCATTTTCACCACACCCTGCAGATTTTATGAAGTACAGCTCTTCTCCAAAAGTCCTGAAAATACTTGGACTTGTGGATTATCTTCTTTTCAGAAAAGAAGAGAAAGGAGCTTTCTTTCTCCTCATTTCTGCCAAAAACCTGCTAAGACCTATTCACTTTAGCGTATTAGTCATATCTTTTAACCGTTACACCTGACAAGAGTTCTCAGATAAAAGTCAAAAGTAATTTTTTTTTCTATATATCTATGCACCTGGCCATAATCAGACAAATTAAGTACATAAATTTTATTTCTTGTCATTTTTTTCATCTCTTTTATGTTTACAGCCCTCACTGGAAATTTTTGTTTACTGTTGGAATGAAAGGTCCCCAATATCTCCTTAGAAGTCATACTTTAAAGGCTAGAAGAGAACTCCTTCCTGTTAATTCTCTTGACTATGAGGGTTGTAAAATAAGATGGATTAGACAATACTAAAGTAACTACAAAGCATTAAACATTCCTGTCAAGCTGTACTGAAATCAAATATTTATACACTACTAAATCACTTTCTGATTATAAAGCTGTTGCAAAATAGATTAAAATGCTAAATTAATTGAAATTTTACTGTGTTATTTATTTAGGCTAGTTAAACCTGTCTACAAGCCATAAAAATAAAGTTTAACAGTCCAGTTTTGTTAAAGAAGTTGATGTTAATGTAATTACTTCACTATTTTTATGCCATCTTATTGCGCAGCCTCTTGCAATAATAAAATTGCCACTTTGTATCAGAGCAGCCTCCATTTGGCTTAATATGCCATCTCTGATAATGGCCAGTTCCAGCACTCAGATGAATGTGAGAGATCCTCTAAGCAGATCATTAATGAATACAATGTGCCCAAGGGATGTTTCTCCTCTGCTCTGTTGACTGGAATTTTTCTTATAGCCTAAAACTGGAGACTTTATATGCATTCCAAATACCTTGTAATGTGTGAATTTAATGAAGTTGGGAATGCCAATATCACTGAAAAAGCACGTTCAGATGATCAGATTCAGCTCCCGAAATCTTAATATTTTAATAATATTAATAAACTTGGTGTGACTTGGTAGAAACATCAGCTTTAAAATTGTTATCTATCCTTTTTATCAAATGCTCTATTATTTTTCTTTTGTGGGGAAGGTAAATCTAAGTAGCAGTATAACCTTGATAGTAAGTCTGTTGCATTCTCCTAGCAGGCTCTTCTTATTGGTGTGCTAATTAAACAAAGTGGTCTCACTGGCAGGGACAGATGCAAAATGAGCAGATTCAGTGGGGCCAGAGATGTAATAAAAGCAGCTCTACTCTGAGACTGTTAACAGGAGCACTAATTAGTGTTAGTTACAGGGATGGGTTTGTGGTATGGAAAGACTTCTACTACGACTGGGTCTGAATACCAATTTTTGGCTCTCATTCTCATAATGCAGGTAAGGAGAGATGACACATTGGAACCAGCTGTCCTGAGATTCACTTGCCTCAGTGGAATAGAACTGAGGAGATTCTGTTCCAGTGCCAGATTGGAAAGCTGCGCACACTGCTGGAGAGCTCCCGCCTCGAACGTGCTGACAGCGTTGTTGTCGAGAAACAAGTGCTTCAGGTCTTGGAGTCCTTGAAAGTCCTGTGCTGTCACCCTTTGGATCAGGTTATTGCTGCAGTCAAGTTTTTGCAGCCTGCTGGGCAGCCTGAGGGGCACAGCGTGGAGCTGGTTCTTAGAGAGCTCCAGTGTTGTTAAGTTAGGAAGAAGCTGGGCACCATCTATTGATGTCAGCTGATTTTCTGACAGAAGGAACTCAGACAGATTTTCTAGGTGTTTCACATCTCGTAGTCTCACAATTTTAAGTTGGTTTTTCTCTAATTTTAGAGACAGCAAGGATTTAGGTAGGTCAAGGGGCACTTTTGTCAGAAAGTTACCACTTAAGCTGAGAAAATGTAGACTTTGGAAAGATGCAAAGAAGTTGGTTGGGAACGAATTCAATTTATTATCAGCCATGCTCAGATGTATCAGCCTGGGAAGCCTAAGTGGTGCAGTCACAGATTCCATGTTGTTTCCATCCAGGATCAGACTTTGTAAGTTGTAAAGCGAAGAAAATGCACTCGGAGGCAGAGTTGCAATCAAGTTGTTCCGAAGATCGAGCACCCTTAGTTTCATCAAACCTGCAAAATCAGATGCATGCAGAGCATTGATAGAGTTGTCAGCGAGTTTTAAAATTTCAAGGCCAGATGGGAGAAAGGTGGGTATTTGCTTTAGCTGATTTTTGCAGAGTTCCAGGGACTTCAAGGTGCTCAGAGCTTTGAAGGTGTTGTTTTCTATTGATTCTGTGCCACTGCATGACAGGACCAGCTCTTCAAGGACTGACATTCTCCTGAAGTCAGTAAACTTAAAAAGAAAAAAAAAAATTAATGTGGTAGTACATTTATAGGTATCCTCACTGGTTACTCCTTCTGGATGCTTCGACAATTGCTAGCATATGCTGAAAAACAATATATTTAGAATATAGTATAAAAATAAATGGTAATGGTACAGATATTACTATGGGTACCTGTGGTTTGCCAGTATTTATTTACATTTCTGGAATTTTGTGGTTTAAGTCTATGCTGTGTCAGGTTTTGAGCAAACACATACATTTGAAGAAGGAATATTCCTTTAATTTCCTCCTGGTGGATAGCCTACATAAAGTGGAAAGCTACTATCACCAGTGGCAGAAATATTTGCAGAGAGTGGATGGTTGTTAATGCTCATTGTGCTCAATGGTGCTTGCTAGAGCACTTTTGAGTTCATGATACAGCCATTTCCATATATCAACAGTACTGTCACTGCAATGTGTATTCCCCAGAGGGAGTACACATGGGTGTCTTTACCTCTTGCTACTGTTTTGGCAGAAAACAAAAATTCAACACTTTTCCCTCCCTCTACTTCCTTTTTTAATTTTTTTAAAATTTTTTAATTTTTTTTTTTAAATAAAAACCTCACATAGTAATGTGATCAAACCAAAAGTGTCAGATCAGCCTGGCCTGAAAAATCACCTCTGTGGAACAGAGTGTTTTCACAGAAACCTGGTTTTTATTAGTTGGTAATAAACAGATGCTTTGCAGTGGTAAATGGTACTTAGATGTTGACTGTGACTATAATATCAAGAGGCACGCAATTGTTTCATTATTTTTCTGCTCTGTTGGAAAGTGCTTGCATACAAAGCTTGCCATCGTGTGTCTCAAGCAGCAAACCTAAGTGAATCTGACAGCTTTCTCTAAATTGAGATAGGAGGAAGCATTCAATGAGGGTGAGCCAGGGAGTTCTCCAAGCACGCCAGTTGCTAAAACACTGGTTTTCTGAAATTATCAGATATGCTTCCCATTGACCTTGGTGACTGAGCCTTCAAAAATCATTTATATGGGAATACCCATATAAATGGGGATAAATAAAAAAGCAAGATGAGCAGGTGTTCTGCACAGGAGTGGTGGGAAGGAGTGTCCTTATCTGTTTTCCCTTCCCTTTCCCAAAACCATCTCACTGCAGGTCTTAGGGGTACCACACCAGTTAGAGACTCTAAAGCAACGCTGTGTTCTTCACACTATTTCCCTCTGGGCTTGGTAGCTCCCAGCACATTTTATTCTCAGTGGGGGAAGCTATACAGCCTGTTCCACAGCATAACCCCTCATTCCAGTCAAGGAATCTGCGTGGAGGGCACTACAAGTCCATTTGCAGTACAGATTCTGGTTAGTAATTTTGTTCCATGGTCCTGCTTGGATACATTTGACTATCATACTTGTGTAAGTGAAATCAGCTCATAAAGATGACGGTTAAAAGATGTCTTACAGCTTCATTTTCCCAACTCTTGCATATTTTTGGGCTGTATCTCTTTATCTTTGCTACAAACTCTGCATTTTAGCTTCTGTTAAAATTAAAGCCTGCACAGCTGTGAAAGACAAGCCATTTAATTTCATTTTGCTGTGGTATCCTTACTTTATTTTTCTGATTAACTTTATTCTGTCTTGCAAAGCAACTTCTGAATTGCAAAATTTGATACCATTACTGAGAAAGTATAGATATGGAACCTCTATTGATGCAGGTTTCTCCATCAATTATATTTAAATTCAGTGAGGGAATGTACCTCCATTAAAAACCTTATATACTCAACAGTAAACAACAAAGCTGTCCAAATGATATAATTTTATTTTTCTATAATGCAGTGCTTTGTGTATATATAGCTATATAGTAATAACAGAACTGGTGATGTCCAGTTTTAATCATGATTAGGAAGGTGATCTTGTACATAGAAATGACCTGCATTAGACAAGAGCACAAAAACATAATCACATGTAATTATAAAACCATCTTATGGATATTGAAACAATTATGAATGTTCACAATTCAACACATTTTCTCCGATAAATTCAAAAGCAATGTTTTCTGCTTTTCCTTAGTTGATTTCTGTATGTCTCTAAGAGGCTTAATTTTCATCTTATTAAGTGACAAAGAGCTATGTGAAGGTCAATGGACAGACATTTGCTTAGTAATGATGTTAGGCTTCTTAATGTGGATTATTATAATTTCTATTTTCCACCTATTTGGTATGCTTTTGCTAAGCTTTGTGACCATGCTGTTTTGAGACTTAAACATATATCTATTCATGCTTTCATAAACCAGCCAGTCTTTCTAATACCAATCAAAACATATTTGAAAGCCCGCCAGCTCTTTCTTTGCTAGGAAGCAGTGTTTTATCCTCTAACTGGATCATCTGTAAAATGATACTATTATAGTTTTCTATTTTAAAGCATTGATCTCCTGTAAGTGGATCTAATGTGCTCTTATTTAATACAAATATTTTAAGGAATTTGTCATTTTAATTACTTGTTTGTTGGTTTTTGTTTTTTTTTTTTTGCTTTTTGAGTTGCTGTACCTGGGATATGTTATAAGCAGTTGTTTTTAAAACAGTCCCTTATCCTGGAGGCAAGGTAGATGATTTTCTTTTAGCATATATAACCTGACTTATTAATATAGTTAGAAATAAAATAAATTTTAAATTGAGAGTAAACAGGTTATAGCTGATCTTAAAATCAAGGAGGAAGAGAAAATATTGAAAAAAGATGTTGAAATTAATCTAGTTTTGTTATTATAAAATTACTAAAAGCAAAAATCCCAGCTGAAGTTTTTAATGCTGATCAGCCCAGTCAGAACAAATACAAAATTAACCTGGGTAAAAAAAAAGTTCTACTATTTTACTTTGTTGTTTGTTTGGGTTTCTTTAAACATACTGGATTTAGCATAAAAACATATATTCTTTTTTAAATTATTATTTCTTCACAATTTTAATAATAATCAATGCAAATTAAGGTGCAGAAGTATTTGAAATAATATTTTTTTTATTGTTCTGAGGCAGCTAATTACCAAACATAATATTTATGAATGCTTACACATGAAAGTCTCTTGGAGGTCAACTGTGGGAACTCTAGGCTTCCATTCAACTTTTTTAGGAAAGTATGGCATTTTCTCTATAAGTAGGTAAATAAAGGAACTTTAAAAACCAAGCAAATAAAAAAACCAAATCAAACCAGCCAAATGAACAAAAATCCCACACTAAAACCCTAAAATCCTATAGAGTTATTTCAGAGCTTGCAGACATGTACTTTACAAGCAGAAATGTTTCCCTAAGCGCTATAATATGTGCCGGTGGAATTGCTCAGCTGTGTAAAATTAAGCATAGGTATTTATGATGTCAAGACCTCAGAAGTATAATTTGTTGCATGGGGGAAAAAAAAGTGAAAAACATATCCAAAGACCCAGTATAATCTCAAGGAAACAGCTCTCGTAACTACAAGGACATAGTGTGAAAGGCTTTCCTTTGAGTGCAAAGTCAGCACTAGCAGTACGGCAAACTCATAGCCAGTGGAAATAATGTATAAAATGAAAAACTCTCTTCTGAGATTCACATACCATTCGTTTTGATCAGTCATAAAACATTTATCCCACCACTCCATTCACTTATATCCAGCATTTAGATGCTTTATGACACCTGTCTTTTTCTCTAGTCAGAACCTAAGGCCACTTGTAACTGAGGAGTTGCTGACAGGTATGGACAACTAGCTTAAGAAATGGAAAATGGCTCATCTTACTTATCTTGGAAAGAAAATAACGGGGAGGAGGAGGGAAGAGTTTGCGCAGAAAAGGTATTTCCTAATACAGAATTCATTTGGCAAATCTTTTGTTTACCCTGAGTATAGCTAAATCACACCAATGTTTGACTCTTGTGGGTGTGTGAGATAAAACAAGAAAACCAGAGATATTAGTAGCAGCTAAAAGAGTAAACTTTCTCAGAGGAAAACTGTACAATCACTGACTAATTCTCAGTGGGCAACAGATATTCTAGATGCTGCTCTAAGCTGCCTTCCAGCCTATTTCATTTAGTCCTGAGAGCAAAATCAGAGGCATTTCAGAGCAGTTAGATTCTTTGTAAGAGAAAATGTATCTCATTTGAATTGCACATCTCTTATTATTTGTAGTAAATTGATGCACAGCAAGCATGTGTACTACAGGTGGTTATATTTCCCTTGTGTCTATCTATACAAGGTGAATTTATTATATAAAGATATTTCAGGGTAGGAAACAAAGAAGCACCGTTCCGGAGTGCAGTACAAGATGAGCATAAGCCTTTAGTAATGTGAACCAGTGGTGCTTCAAGAAACCCAGAATAAATTTTTTCAGTAGAACAAATAGCTGGTATCTTTGGTTAGAAGCTGCTCTCACTTATGTGGGTTATCAGATAGGCCTGGCCTTGCTCTTAGAAACATCTCATGCTGTGCCTTAGACTCAAACTTACTTCCTCTGCCATTTCTAATATCAGTTTACCTGACATTTGCAGCTTCAGAGGGGAAAAAGAGCTTCAATTTCATTAATTAGGGAAACTATTTTAATGGCATACACCCTTTCAATTTTCTGTGAAAAAGTATTATATTGTATCAAAAACAGAAAAAGCTTTTAACAGGTTAAAAAATTACTCTGAAACTCTGAAAGTCAATGCTTATTTGACCATACATAAAACAAGTCAACCTTTGGTTGCTAGTTGTAAAATACTATTTTTTTGAGTTTCATACAAAATATCATTGTGACAGTGTGAACTAGTGCTTGGAGACTGTGGGAGCATGGAAACACTACAGGAATATATTTACATATCCTTAAAGAGTAAGTAAAAATAAAACCAGATCTGGCAGCACTTCATCAGTTTTTAGGACATGGAATAAGATTCTCTCCTCACTAGATGCCATCACCATCTGGGAAGTCCAACTTTCAGTTATGGTGCACTGCAAAAAGTACTTTTTCTGGGTTTTCTTACCTGGAGTTGTTTAATTTTGCTGTGGCTGATGTAGAGTCTTCTGGTGGTAAAAGGAATCTCTCTGGGGATCTCTGTAGCTCTGTAGCATTGCACTGACTGGGCAGGGTCACAGCTGCATCTTCTCGGGCAAGTGGTACTTAGAGTGCTGTGAAAAGACAAGGCAACTAAAAGGTAAGACAAATACATCTTCCAAAACAGGAACTCTGGAACTGCCTCAGCAACATACAGCTTGAATTAAGCACCAAAGCCCTTTTATACCATGAAATCTGATAAAAGGATATTATGACTGTGTATTTTATCCCAGTAAAAAAACAGCAAAAACAATACTGTAATTTGCCTGGGTTAAAATGTTGGCAGGCATTACAAAGAGTGAGAAACTTAAACAGTGATAAGGTGCCTTTGCATTTGTAGGTATGTGAAATTAGTGTAATTTATTACCTGACAGCTAATCTGCAAACATCCATATTATCTTCAGTTTCCTCGTTTTGTTAAATGTGACACCACAGAATTAGCAGAGAAAAGATAAAGAACTGTTTTATAGTGGGGCTGTAAAACCTTTGTATCTTCTGTGACCCAGTATTAGAAACAGTAAAAACACAACTACAGCCAGCACTGAAGCCTTTTTGCTCTTCCTCTTGCATTACTCAGACTACCACCCAAAACCTCAAAACTCAGGCTGCTATTATTTTAAAGCTAAAACATTCTATTAGTTTTCTTAACATCTGTGGTACAGCTGAGTGCTGCTGATTTTGCAAAAAATCACCTCTTCTTGTGTAATTCCCATAAATCAAAATGTAATTATTCTTGTATTTGAAAATTATAAATGGGAAATGCTTGAAAGCATTTAGTGTAAATCAAGTGGTAGATAATCAATAAGACCTATTTACTCCATGACAGATGGACAGAAAGATTTCCCCTAGAGTTTTCTCTGTGCTTATTAGTGCTTCTCTGATATATCTGATAGCTGTGCCAGCTGGAGATGTAAAGTTTTGAAAGGCATACAGTTTTGGTTGTGATCACTTTCCTTTGCGCTCAAGCAGTTTACAACATACAAACCAGTGTGCTTTTGAAACCTTTGTATCTTATCACACTGATCTGCTTTGCACTGTTACCTGCTTGCCTCCATTGTCTCCATTATATCTTCAGAAGCAGGTAATCCTATTCCTTAGGTGTACACTAGGCTAGTTATTTTTCCAAGCAGAAGATAATGTCAAGTAGATTTGACAAATGGATAACAGACCTGGGGGTAGTCCTTGATGGGAATGCCTATTGGATGCAGCTGGGCTTACACTGGACAATTGCCATATTCCTTCCTGAAGATCCTTCTGTCTCCTTAATCCTCTATACTGTGAGTGCAGAACTGCAAACCAGCATCTGCTAAACTAAGCAGCAAGAGCAGAAACCTTTTCCAAAAGCAGTCTGTGAAACTGGCATGTTTAACAAGCTATGCAGAAAAATCCTGCCTGACTTATGCCATAGTGATCACTTGAGCAAAAATGAGTGAGTGAGCAGCTTTAGCAACTGCGCATTAAAAGAAGTGTTTTAATGTATCTCCGTCTCAGGGTTTGATACTTGGCTTGTGGCTTTGACTTTTTCTTTTTCCCCCTGCAAGAGTCAAAGTATTCAGACAAAAGTGTAAATCCTTTCTGCATACTGACAGCTACTTGTGGTATTTTCTTTGTTTCCACCTTTCCACTGACTTGGGTTTACATTCTGATGCAAGTAAGACAGTAATTCCCAGCATCCTATGTAGGAATTTGTCTTCTTTAAAAATGTCATCAAAAACAATTGCTTTCTCTTCCTGGACGATCAAAGGAAATGAAGATCCAACCCTGTGGTTTGGAGTTGAGAGCTCTAGAGTACTGCAGTCTCTGAAAACCCCTGTAAGAACCATAGATTGCATCCTTCCCTATTTTGTAAATTTTAGGTCAGTCAGCTGATGTCAGAATTCCCAGATGTGGTTAGAAGGTAATTACACCATAGTAAGGTGCAATAATCTTGGCTCTTGGCATTTTTATGTAATGTCTTTATCCTTGGTCTTTTCAAACTAATGAAAGGAAATGTTATTGGTTTAATAGTTCATTTCCATTATACTTGCAACAATTATTTAATCGAGAATGATGTTATGTATCCATTAATTTCTCATATATGTCTGCTTTTGGCAGCTAGGTAATTTAAAGCAATAGCTATAAAAGATGATGTCCTATTAAACCTATATCGTACAAATTCTCACACGAGAGCTGATGACTGTGCTTTTGCATAAAATTATGACCTGCAGGCATTTTATTGACTTTAGGAGACCTGATGGTAACAGAATAGACAAAGAGTCCCAAGGACCGTATGAGCTTAAGCTTAGCAGGCAGTTGTGAGCTATGCAACAATTAAAAAAACAAACAAACCCCCCACAAACCCAAACAAACAAAAAAACACCACCAAAAAACCAAAACAAACTTCCCCCAAAAAAAACATTTATAAACATTCCAGAATCTCTGTACTGGACGTAGCACTGCTGACCCATGAGTTCCACAACCTCACCGCACACTATTAGGAAGGTGAATCAGTGGCCATTCCCTGCCAGCAGTTCTTATGCAAACTCTCCCCTGCTTTTGATGGGGACTCCTGTGCAGGACTAAGGGCATGATATAGCACTCCATCACTTCTGTGTCAGAAAGAATGAGTAATAGCACCCAAACCTTCCCGTGTGAGAAGTCCCAGGGACATCCTACATGGTGTATGCTTTAACCAAGGGTAAACACTTCTGATCAAAACCTGCAAATCCCAGGTCTGTGTCAGACATTGTCTTGCTGGCACCTAATAAGGATATTGATTAAATATATTGGACAAATGTGGATAAAGCATAAGCTTGATTTACTGGAATTTAGATATTTCAGGATTACTGCTTTTATTTCACATTTGAAGTAGGGCTCATAAAGGACTGTAAAGTTTGGTGGATTTTTTCCAAATATATCAGTTAGCCAAATAAAAATATGCTATTTTTCTGCCAGCCTTGCCTCACACAATATTTCAGCAGTAGTAGTGAATGGGCCTTTTCATCACCAAAGTCATAGGTTTGACAAAAGCATACATATTTAGGTCAAGACATAACTTTTTAACCTAAGACGCAGAAAATGACATAAAAGTAAGATGACATTAAGATGGAAGGAATGGGAAAAGGGAAGAATGAACCTGCAAAACTCTTGTCATGGAGTGTTTAGAAATGTCTGAAGAGAGCCCTTAAAACCTGCAGGTGGATCCCTTGTAATGGACTTGATGGCACAGACCATGCAAAAGAAGATGCTGTCTTATCACAAAAGACCTGGAGAAGCTGAGTTCTTGTAGTTGGAGTGTCCCTTGCCTATGGAAAGGAAAAACTGCAGCAAAAGACCAGCTTAGGGCTTGCACAGGGCACGGACAGGAGCTTGATCCCTGAGGGATGTCACAAGCAGAAGGAGTTTGGCAAGTAGGAACTGCTAAGTGATGGCGTATGCTCTAAAGAATCCTTGGCATATTTAGGTGCCATATGCTATCAAGTGCCTGCCACTGAGTACATGTGAATTTATAATTATTTTTTTTGCTGGAGGTTTTTAATTTGGATTTGGACCAGTTTTTCATAGGGACAGCAAATGGCATTTTGTCTGCTGCAAAGGTTACCTCCAATCAAGCACAACTCTTCAGAGTGGATCAAGCTGCTAAAGGAAACAATCATAACATTGTTTTTCAAAACGTTTTGCTTCCCTTAATCATCTATTGAAATATCCTGAAATGCTTTACCGAAATGTTTCCTAAACAAAGAGCCTCAGAGCCTTACAATGAAACAAGAATGTCAGCAAATTGATTCTAAGTCAATTAATAAGACTTAATTAATGTACAGGTTATAAATTTATTAAAAATTATTTTGTGTTTTAATCCTACAAAGCAGAGTTTCACAAGAACAATCAGAGACCTGTCTGGAAAAAAAAATTCTCAATTTTCTTAAGCCAAGAATTTTGTAGAACTATTTCTATCCATTTTCATAGTATGTGGAGAAGGTGTGTTCTAACTCCAGGCAAGGTCATCTTCATACACTGGAAACAGCTGCTGGATGAGCTAAAGCAGATTTTTCTTCCACACAAAAAGATTTCCTTTTCTCCCTCCATGCTGGCAACATAGAGGAGATGCAAGTGATAACCCCTTAGGAATTTCTCACATTTCACTTGTCCAGGGCACATTTGCATTCCAGAGGAACTAGCACGGTGAAACAGATTGAAAGGGATGAAATTTTGTTAAATGGCAATTCACATATTGAGGAGTTTTACTCATTGCCAGTTTTATGAGTGCTAAGGGATTCTAGCCCAGATCAGATGCATCTGGGGCAGGCACTCCACAAGAAACAACCCACCTGGAGGAGGTCAATTTAAATAATTTCATACACATATGCCACTAATAATGCTGTAACTGGTCTTCAAATGTTGTAGGCAATAGCATCCACTTGATGGAGTAAATGTTTGTCATTAATTGCACCACAGAGAGCTCTGCCCATGAAACAAGAGATTAGGGTATGGTATAATGACAGTTTCCTATAAATGACATTACAAGTAATTCCCAAAAAGGAAAGGTAGATCTGATGGCTGAGTCTGTCCTCAGCCTAGAATTAAACACAGACGTCTTTTGTATGTGAACAGTTCTGAAAGTAAAGTACCAGGGAAGGATTATCCAGTCAATAAGGGAACCAAAAAATCTATGGAACTTTGCTAGTCCTGTAGGAAACAAGTTAGTTCTGGCCTTTCTATTTCCTGTGAATATCTCTAGCTTTTAAGGCAGCCTGCTTGTAACTGCGTGTCCAACAGAATCAGAATGGAGCTTAAACTGTAAAAATTGTCTGCTGTTCAAACTGCAAGGCGCAGCACTCTGAAACAGCAGTTTTCCAAATTATACACACTGTGTGCATGGAAAGAGGGTTTTGTTCTTGTGTGCTGTAAAGCTGAACATTTTTGGCATGTCTTTTATTCATTTCTTAAAACAAAACAAAAACTCAGAATGAAAATAGCTAATCATAAGTGTATATATAGAAATAAGCATGAGACTAAGATCACAATAGCACTCTAACAAAGGAAAGCTGATCTGAAAAAAGACCAATACAGAATGAATATTCAGAATAGTCGGCAGTAAACTGTTGCACCCATGGACTCATCCATGGAGCGTAAAAT